AACCACAGCACCAACCTATATACGGCACGCAACGGTGGAGCAGCCTCGACTCTGTAGCTTCAAGACAGCTCTCTTCCACTTTGGGTATTCGTCACAGAGGCTGCGTCCATCTTTATTTCCAGTCTGTGGTCTGGACAGATAAACAATGAGCTGAAAACTGTAGATTCATCACTACCACACAGAAAATTCTTGCTTTTCCCTTGTTTAAACAATTCAAACCAGCTTTAATCGCACTGACTCCATGAGCATGTTTGTACTGCGCCCCCTCACACACCTGAGAGAAAGTCTGTTTCTATAAGTCTCTGTTTTTCAGTTTCTGTAGTTTATACCTGAATCTTTCAGCTTACATTAAACTGTTTACTCATCTGTATCAGAGCTGTTTTCTCTGGCTGCTGCTGCTACCTCCACATTAAAAGGCTTCCCAATAGGAGGCTTTTATTGTGAAGACGAGCCAGCCAGGAACTGTAATTTATTCAGCACAGATTTTAGTGTTATACATCAATAAAAACAAGGGCACACAGTCAGATATGAACTATCAGTGCTAATTGTTCAGCAGATCTGTTTTACTGCAGGGAGGAAGAGAACAAACAGAACGAGGCACGGCGAGCTGCGAAACAAGCAGCAGAGCCGGTCAGACTCTCCACTAACAGCTGACCTCCAACACCTCCAGGTAAACAAAAACCCTCACCTCGCCGTGCTGTGAAGAAACACTCCACACAGTGGCAGCTCGCACACCTCCGCAACGGTCCCTCTACGCTCGCGCTGATTCTCACTGCCAACCCTTACCAGCTTCACCTGTCAATCGAACAAACCATTGCCGCCATATACAGTGTGAGGTCCCTGTCAGCGCCCCCCCTCCAGGCCTGCACACCCTGCTCTACTCTACCAGCTTCGCATGCTATAAAACACAAAATATCCTGATGATTTGTATATTTGTTGAGTCTTAACTAAGCCCTGAAGTCAAGTGGAAACATTTTTTTTTGTGTTGTATGTTTTCATGTTTTTGTGATAACTCAATACCGGTCACAAGGGGCAGAAGTGCAGCACTACCCCATGTATTCTACATATATTATGTGTTTGAGCTATTTGCTATTGCTACATAGCCACCGTTAGCATTAACAGCTGTGTACTTACCAGTCTAGAAGAAACATTGCGAGCGGGGGAAAGCAACCTTCTTGTTTTGCCTCTATTTCTATCACTTCTTTTCTTCTTCTTAAGGTAGCATGCTAACCAGCTAGCTTAGACCGAGTCACTGTAGCATCCAGTATCATAACTTCTTGTATTGTAAACGCAAACATGGCTGAAGCTCTTGGCAAGCGTCCATCACCACCACCTGCTCCCGGCAATAAAACCATGTTCGGCAGAAAAGAAAACTTACATATATATATATATATATATATATATATAATATAACATTATTTTCATTTTATTTTCTTTCGTCCCTGTTTTCATTTTCTCCACATTTCTTTCACAGACTCTTGTGGACAAAGTGTGGATTACAAAAACAAACACTTATAAAAATCCTGAGGGTGGCGCTAGAGGAAAGATCAAAATCTAAAGGGTTCATCTTGTGGGGAACAGGAATGAAATCAAGACGTTTCGGGGAAATGTAACCAGGAAGTTCTTGTATTTAGTGTGTAATTGTGGAGATTTTGAAAGGTCAGAGGTCACCACTGAATTCATCCTCTGGTAGCCATGAATATCCTCATCAGAGCTCATGTAAATCTCAGATATACTGAGGACGAACGAAGTGTTAATTGGACAAAAAAAAGAAAAAAATCACCATGTAACTTCTATAGAAAATTATT